ACTGAGAGGAAGGCACTCTTCTGTTCATGGGCACCTGCACAACAGACAAAATTCAGAATGCAAAGGAGTGGGATCAAAGGAGTCGACAGGGTTGCCAGTCTCCAGGTGGTGGCTGGAGATCTCCCAGAATTACAAATGGCCTCCAGGCTACAGAAACCAGTCCCCCTGGAGGAAATGGCTAGCTGGGAAGGTGGACTGTATGGCAATTTACCCTGCTGAGGTCATTCTCTTCCCCAAACCCTCCCCTCCCCAGATTCTACACCCCAAATCTCCAGGGATTTCCCCAACCTAGAGCTGGCAATCCTAGGAGATGGACTACCTGCCAGAGCTATAGAATTTGCAGGCAGAAACCTGTGCAGATATATAGATGCTGTACAACACTGCAGAGAGGCCAAAAACAGTATAAATCTGTGTCTCTGTTACAATGGAACTGGCCTGGGGAAACACTTCTGTATGTGAAAACTGCAGCATGAGAAGCAGTCTTGGTATCGCCAATACAAAACGGGACTGGAAGATAATTAATGAAACACCAGACTTTTAAAAGTCTCCAGAGATCAACCTGGAAATTATAAACTAATGAGCATGATTTCAGTACTGTGAAAACAGGCGGGGAATGACAGTCAAGAACAGACTAATGTTACAGAACTTGGAGAATATCAATAACCACACTGGTAATGCTACTCTTGCTGTTCGGTTTGCTAAGATTTATCTCTGTTCTTAAAGTATTCTAAAAAATTTTGTATCATCAAATCAAAAAGGGTATCTTTTGGTGAATGAGCAGCATACTACAAGATAGTAAGATAAACATAGATGGCTAATTCTTTTAACAGAAAATGGGGGACAGCTGGGGGCTTCAAATATCAGAGCTATGGTCTGTTTTCTTGAAAAAAAAACTAACACCACAGAATGAGCTGTGCAGATCTAATAGGCTGAGGTCCCGGTCACACGGCGAATTTGCCATGGGAGAGCCACGAGTGGTGGGTGGATTATTGGGGCGCGATCACACCACAACATCTGGCAAGTGGAGTGCACCCGTGGCCAACCTGTGGCATACCACCGAAAAAGTGCAATAAAACAACAGTACCTCAGATGTAGTGGCAAACGGTTTGCCATGGGCTGCCTCCGGACTCCTGCGGTGTGATCGCGCCGACCCCTTGTTAATGTGCAGGCAGGAAGGACAGGACCCGTGGTTTGCCGCCGACGCGTCAGATCGCGTTCTGGTGGCTCTAATTGCACCGGAGCAATTAGCCACGCCTCCCCCCGCGTTATCCGGCCTGTGTGCCCGGGTCCAAAGATTTGCAAAACTTTCTTAGAGTCAATCACTGTTCACTATCCCCCCCAACAGTTTTTACAACTCTTGTTCAATTGTCTATGGCCATGAGGCAGAGGGGATCTGAAGTAATTAGATACTCCTTTTTTCCACAAAAAGACTCACCCACAGCAGAAGCCCAAGCAGAGAATGCTCAGGGTTTGTGCTTCCCTAATTTTGACTAGGCGTAAGGCCCGTTATGGGAAGAAATACAACGAGCTCTAGAAGGAAGCTCCAGGTGAGTGTCCCGGCTGTGGCTGCTGGGATGGCAGAGGGAAGGGGAAAATAGAGGGAGGCAAGCCATGTTTGTTTCCTTCTGCTTAGCTATAAGGCAGGGCTGTCTCAAGTCATTTTGCTGCCCCAAGTGGGTAGTATGGGAGGACATCCTCATGGTAACAGGTATGGTTCCCTCCACCCCTGACTTATGTTGATTTGGGGTTATAAAATGGCAGCTAAGGTAGAAAAGCACCTCCTCCTATGCCATGTCTTCTGGGTTCCAAGGGTCTGGAAAATGGTCCCATAGCCAGTTACAGGGTTGCCAACTCTGGGTTGGGAATTACCTGTATATTTGAGGGGTAGAGCCTGGGGTAGGGTTGCCAAATATGTTTTGGCTGGGAGCGGGGGGCTCCCGGCTGGCGTCTGGAACGTGAAGCGTCACCCAGAAGTGACGTCGCACGCTGGGGGCGGGGCCACGCCATTTGAGGGGAAAACGCTTTGTTTTCCCCTCAAATGGCGTGGCCCCACCCCAGCGTGCGACGTCACTTCCGGGTGACGCGCGCACGCACGTTCCAGAGGCCGGCCGGGAGCCCCCCGCTCCTGGCCGAAACATATTTGGCAACCCTAGTTTTGGGTCGCAGTTTGGGCACTCGGTCTCTAAAAGGTTCGCCGTCACTGGCTTAGAGGGAGCATTGCTTGCAAGACGGAGCCGTTCTGTCAGGCCTCTGGCTGAGGCAGCAGGCATCCACATAAGCCCTCCCCAAGGTTGCAATCACCCACCCACTGATAACCGGCCATACCTAGTAACACCCAGGGGTCATTTCCTGCAGGAGCGCACAGGAGCGGAGGTCCGGCAGTAAAGAGCCCAGGGGGCGGGCACATGCAACAAGCCCTGCCCCCTGCTCCCAGCAGCCCTCAGTCAGAGCAAGATGCAGCCAGGTAAGTCGCAGAGCCCCCCTCCCCCCCCAAGCTCCCCGGTCCAAAACAGTCCAGTGTAAACCGCTCTGAGACTCCTTCGGGTTGTGAATTGCGGGGTATAAATCCAATCTCCTCTTCCTCCTCCTCCTCCTCCTCCGCCTTGGTGGTCTCCCATCCAAGCCCTAACCAGGAATGAGCCTGTTTAGCATTTGAGATCTGATGAGATCTCGCTTAGTCTGCACCATCTAGCATCCTTTTATGAGCTTCAGCTTCAGGATCTGGCCTTCCAGGGAACAGTCAGGGTTGATTTCCTTTAGGATTGACTGATTCGATCTCGTTGCAGACCAGGGGACTCTCAGGAGTCTTTTCCAAACTGGCTATTGGGGGGAGAGGAACAGCAAACTGTTTAGAATATTGGAGGCTTTAAAGCTCAAGAATTTCTAAAGGAACAGCTGGGAAGGCCAGAGGACGAGAAAAAAGAAGAGGACAGCAGGTCCAGTGGCGAGCTGGAAACTGGTTCATCTGGCGAGGACTCTTTGTCTGAGCAGGGGGCAGCAGCCCCGAAAAGTCCCTACAAGCTGTGAACAAGAAGGGAAAAGAAGTAAAGGCTGAAGGACTCTGATTAGTGCCTTTGAGAACTTTGGTTCTTGGGGATGATTGGGGATACTGTTATTGGGCAGTTAAATGTAAACTTGGAGGGTAAAAGGTTTTCTAAGGGTTTGACGCAGTTCATAAAAAGAACCACGACGAGAAGATTTGATGTATTAAAGCTAGTTGGAGGGTCTCCTCTCTTAGGTTTTTAGATAGTAGTGGGTACTTTACTTTCTCCCGTATATGTAGTTCCCCTTCCCTTTTTTCTGTTGTAGTTTTTTGTAGTGATAAAAAATCAATAAAAAATCCCCTCCGGGGGCTCAAAAAAAAAAAAAAGAATATTGGAGGCGAGACTCAGGCAACGCAGCCAGTGGATAGGGACAGCTTCTGAGTGACAGATCATGGAGCCAACTGATTTGGGAGCGTGTGGAATGTTCAAGAGAGTCCATGACCAAAACAGGATTATCATATAGAGAGATTGGTTTAAAATACCTGCATAGCACACTCCCCCCGCCACCAAAAAAAAAAGGGATTAAAATCAGATCTTACAGTGTTAAGTGCAAACTGGTGCACACAATGGCACTGTATCCAAGTCACTAGTGGAAGAGGAAGGAGGAGAGTATTTTGCCAGATTTCCCTTTGTCACTGCAGTGTGCATACCAATTAGTGTTCAATACTGCATGGGGCTGCTTTGGTCCCTCTTGCACTCTCAGATGCCATCCTATTCCTGAAAGAACAGTTCAAGCTCTTCTTCCTTGAGTGAATCTAGCAGACCTAATATTATGCCATGGAAGGTCTCATTCTCTGCATTAATATAATGAACTTCTAGGTTGGGCAACTGATTCCAAATGAGCTACTTGGACCCATGTCAGCAGCCAGTTCTACAATGTTCTTCTAAGCTAGGATTGCCAGGCATGTCCTGGCAACCAGTGGGAGACCAGGGAGAGCACTATCAGTGACAGTGTGACATCATTTCAGGGAAAACCAGTTAAGTAACATCATGCCTTTCTAGGAATAGTTTAGTTTTCATAGTTTCCAGTGATTCCTAGAGAGGACTGATGTCACTTTCTCAGTTTCCCCCCACCCCAGAAAGTGACGTCACACTGTCAGAAACTGTAATTTTTTTCTCCCACGGGCCACTAGAGTACCAATGGGCAATGGCTGCTAGGGATGGGAGATCTCCCAGCCCAAGCAGGCATTTAGCAATCATATTCCAAGCATGTACAAAAACCCAAAAACACATATTGCTCCTATGTAAACAGTAGTCTACCTATAATGAGACTACTGTGAATAGTTGCCCCCCACTCCCTACAATGTTCAATTATACATAAGGTGTAGGGACGAACCTGGCAAGTATTTGGATGGGAGACCTCCAGAGAATACCAGGGCCGGGAGGCCAGAGGCAGGCTATCAAGCCACTTCTCTGAATGTCCTCCGTGCCCTACAGAGGTCACCATGACTTCCAGGCATGGGCACATGCACACACACACACAAAAAGAAGATGTTAACATTGTATACAGCCTGATCTCATCCAATCTCAGAAGCTAAGTTGGGTTGGTACTTGAATGTGAGACCACCAAGAAAGACTGCAGAGAAATGCAACAGCAAACCACATGTGCTTAATCACTTGCCTTAAAAACTCTATGGGAACGCTATAAGTCTGCTGCGACTTGACAGCACTTTACACACACACACACACACACACACACACAAATATGCACCAGACACCAGTACAGGTATGCATAATATTCCACTTTGCAAGGTTCGTTGTCCTATCCATCTGCCCATGCTTCTTCCACTTCCTAGGCCACAGCAAGTATGTATATGTGGGAGAAGAATGAGCAGGCCTACCCATACATGTACCCACACTACCTCTGCGCTTACCTATACAAACAATGATGACAGCTTTTAAACTTTAGCTTTACATGAATACTGATACAACTGACAAATAGTTACTTTCTTTTACCTTTCTTTTGGTGTTCCAACTCCGTGTTTTCCCAATAAATGAGTATTTAAGTGCTTTTTCATTACAAATGCCACCCTGAAAAACAAAACAACCAATATGTTATATTTCCATTTTCATTTTTAAGGATGAAAACTCCCCCACCCACCCCCGCGTAATATCAAACGTGGGCGGGAAGGTGGCATGGTATAGCCCGATCTTGTCAGATCTCTAAGGAAGACTCTGCAGAGCAACGTAAATGGCAAACCACCTCTGCTTCTCACTTGCCTTGAAATCCCCTTGCTGGGTTTGCCATAAGTTAGCTGTGACTTGACAGCACATTGCACACACAATATCAAATGTAACATATTCCAGAAATGTTGTTGTAGTAGACAAACACTGTGATCCTAAGCAAAGTAACACTTTTCCAACCCATTGACTTCAACAGACTTAGAAGAGTGGAACTCTGTTTAGGATGGCATGTAGATTTATGGTGTGCCCTTATTTGGAATACTGTGAACAGTCTTGGTCACTGTACCTCAAAAAGGACATTGTAGAGCTGGAAAAAATACAGAAGAGGGAAACCAAGATGGTCAATGGGTTGGGGCATCTTTTAGAAACATAGAAACCTAGAGCTGAAAGGGACCTCAAAGGTCTTCTAGTCCAACCCCTTGCATAATGCAGGAAATTCACAACTACCTTCCCCCATTCCTTCAGTGACCCTCTGCTCTATGCCCAGAGGAAGGCAAAAACCCTCCAGGATCCCTGGCCAATATGGCCTGGAGGAATATTCCTTTCTGACCCCAAAATGGCAATCGGCATTACTCTGATGTAAGAAAGGGCTACGAGAGCCAAACACTGACTCATCCCTTCCTGGCTTCCCTGTTATGATCTGCCTAAATTCATAGAATCAGCATTGCTGTCAGAAGGCCCCTGCTCAAAAACCTCCAAAGAAGGAGAGCCCACCACCTCCTGAGGAAGCCTGTTCCACTGAGAAACAGCTCTAAATGTTAGGAAGTTTTTCCAAATATTCAGCCGAAAACTCTTTTTAGTTTCAGTTCATTGGTTCTGGTCCAATCTTCTGGGGCAACAGAAAACAACTCTGCTCCATCCTTTATCTGATAGTTCTTCAAATACTTGAAGATGGCTATTATATCACCTCTCAGTCATCTCCTCTCTAGGCTAAACATACCCAGCTCCTTCAACCTTTCCTCATAGGACTTGGTCTTCAGACTCCTCACCATCTTAGTTGCCCTCCTCTGGATAAGTTCCACCTTGTCAATATTCTTCTTAAACTGTGGTACTAAAACTGAACACAATAGGTCTAACCAGAGCTGAGCAAAGTGATACCATCACTTTGCGTGATATGGACACTATACTTCTGTTGATGGTGAGGAAAATCTATGAGGAAAGTCTGAAGAATGTGGGACTTCAATTTAGAAAATAAATGACTGGGGGGAGAGGTTTATAAAATTACACACAGGATAGAACGTGCAGGCAGAAAAATCTTTTCTTCCTCTCCCAAAATACTAGAACTCGGGGGCACCCAATGAAGTTGACAGGCAATAGATTCAGGATGGACAAAAGGTAACATTTCTTTACACAAAGAGTGATTGAAATGTGGATTTCAGTGCCATATGATGTAATTATGGCCACAGTCATAGACAGCTTCGAAAGGGGATTATACAGATTCATGGAGGATAGGTCATTCACAAATACAAATACAATACCTTTATTGGCATAAAATATCAAATACACGTGCAGCATAAAGCCTCAAGATAGGCCGGGGGGGGGGGTTATCACATTCCGAATTGCCTTAATATGAGCCTCTCCTCCTAGATACCTCATAAAAGAAATTTGCTACAGGTTCAAGAATTTCTATATTATGCGAAGACAATAAAGAACTAATTTTATACTCATCAGATTGGCCCGATAGGTCATTCAGTGGATACTACTCATGGTGACTAACCTCCACATTCAGACCTACTAAACCTGTGAATCCCAGAGCCAGAAGGCAACATCAGGGGACAAGTCTTCGCCTCTATGCCCTTTTGCTGGCCCTCCAGAGAAACCGGTTGGCCACTGTCTGAGACAGGGTTCTTGACCAGATGGACCACTGGTTTGATGCAGCAGGGTTCTCCTTATATTCTTATGAGTATGCTCTGGGAGAAGTACCATAAACCATTGCAAAACAGCAACAGCCTGAATATAAAAGTCAAATCTGTATATTTATTTAATATTTTCAAGATTTTCTTTGAAAGGAATCTTGTGCTTTTGAGCTGTATGGAACAGGAATTTTACCAGTTGTACATTTCCATGTTATGCCATTTTGGCAAGATAGACAGACAGACAGACAGACAGACAGAGATACACACACACACTTGGTAGGATGTATCTGTACAAAAGCCTGACCATCCTAACTGGAGCCATATCATTACATCTAATTCTGAACTGCATCCCTAGAGCATGGAACAAAAGATCCACACAATGGAACCAGGGACAGATAGTAAGGATTTTTCTACAAACCTACCAAGAACTACCAAGTTTGCAGAAAAATCTGAAATCTTAAAAAAAAAAAAAAAAAAAAAATCATTGGTGGGTTAACCCCCACCACCAATAATAGACACAATGTCTGAAGTTTTAAGAGATGAGTGCTCCCTGAGACTACATTCTGAAGTCTTGGTGTCCACTGTGGGAGGGGGTGCTAGCCTGAACCTTACAATCTAGGTTTTTGTCAATCAGGGTGGAGCAGAAAGATGTTGAAGAAGGTGAAAGATGGAAGGGAAAGGAGAATGAAATGCTGAAGAAAGGGAGAACAAAAAGGTGTAGTTAGGTGAGTGACAGAAAAGAAACGGGGAGAGGCTCCTACTTGCTTAAGGAAAATTAGCTTAGAGCTCTTTTTAAAAAATTGAACAGAGATAGGAAACCTGGAAGAGGGTATCAAAAAAACACATACAGCTCCCATTCCTCAAAGTTCTGGTATGATGAGTACTTATGTGCGCTGGAGAAACAGAGCTCTGTTATATCCTCTAGGAATCCCTCCTCCTAGTAGTGGTGAGTCCTTACAGGGAAAGGAAGCATCATGCTGTAAGATTTCTAAATACATTTTCAAAGTAGGCTTTTCCCCACAGACTGCCACGCAGACAGCTACCAGCATTTACAAGCAAAATGGGACCAGAATAAAGCAAGAAAGCCTCCTGTGGTTCAGTCTTATATGATGAAATGGATTAGGGCAACATGTTGGATCATTTTGTTCTCAGAACACTTGTTAATTAAGAGCAACTCTATACAACACAGTTGCTGCAGAAAAGACATATTGTACATACATCTTTAAACACTTGTGTACACTTAATTGCGAACCCAGACCCAACTAGGTTTGCTACTTGCTCACCCATGGCAGGCAAATCCCTGTTCTCTGTAGCATTTCCCTGCCCTCAAGAAATTTAGGAGTGGGAGAAAAATGTCCAGAAAATTGTCTCTCAAATGACTCTTTAGAAAAATTTGGGGAAATTCCTAGACCATCACCCAGAACTGATGTCATAACTTCCCCAAACTCCACGGCCTCCAGGCTCCACCCTCAAAATCTCCCGTCGTTTGCCCAGACAGTGCTGGCAACCCTAGGCTCATGCAATATGTGACAGTCACCTAAGCATGATTAGCTCCACACCACCAACAAGCAAAATGAAAACTGAGTCACTGTGATTTCTGTGTAGTGTGGACTTGATTTTTAGTTTAGGTATTATTTTCTTTGAAAAGCAGATCTTGCTGTAAGAGCCAGAAATGCTGCTGGAATAGGCCTGGCCCTCTCTGCCCACCCTTTGAACACAGACCCATAGAGATCATAATGTGCATAGTACTGAAACACAAATATCACTGGGATACTTAAAAAGAACTCCACTATAACCAATAGCAAACTGACTGGCCTGTATTATGGTAATGAAGGCAGCAAAACTAGGCCACAAACAAAGTAGAAATCTCTGTATACTGGGGGAGCTCCCTAGGTATGCAGACAAAAATATGATTTTGTACATTCACCAAAAGAAAAAGAAGAACCTTCTTAAAAACTAGCCTACTGAGGGACTGAATATGCTCCAGAGGGGATGCAATGTTGCCTTCAGCTGTGAGTCACTAATGGAAACAGTGGGGGAGGAGAATTGAGCTGCCCAACACCCTAAGAGCTTGCAGAATCCAGGAGGAAAGATTTGGGGAATGGGTTGGGTGTCCTTATTTTAGACATAGAACACTTAATTTTATTTAATTATGGTGGTAAAATAAACAGATTGCTATTGAATATACTTTCACTGATAACAGCTTTACATTAATTTAATTATATTGTCTGATTATATCAGCAATACAGATATTGGAAAGGTGCTTCAAACTAAAATGGCATTCTTGAAAACCAAAAAAGAAATTACTGCTCTTACTTTCAGTGTGAAAAGGGCTTGCAAACATTTTTGTTAATTATGTATTACAGCTGTCCTTCATAAAGTTAATTACTAATAGCTGAAAGGCACTGGAAATCTATTTGCATATGTACATGAAAGGCATGACATATGCAAAAATATGATTTTAATTAGCATTCCATGGTATGACGGGCTACAAATCAAGCTGGCATATTGTAAGGTTTTTACCATTAAATGCCAAATTCATTTGGACATGTTTCAACTAATGGACAGTGCAAAGACAGAAAAATACTGTAGCAGCATGGCATATATTTGCCACAAAAGCCAAGAGACAGTACTTTTCTTTTACATATATGGTAATGTCTCATCTCCATGTGTGATTTACTCTGGGCATATTCACATTATTACAGAAAATTACTATTTTGTGTAGCCTTCGGGTGTAAGACTAAAGCTCAGTATCTTTAAAGCAATGGCAACTTCATTATTTGTATTTTTAAAACATACATTAAAATATTATTGATTCTTCCTTTCATATTTGAATGCTACATATGGACACCACAGCTAGAACTCAAAATAGTCTATTGCATTATCATCACTGTGACTATGCAACTGTCACTAGAAATATTATACATAAGGAAAATGATTGGAGTAGCATAAAATCTTGCCTCCTAATAAGAGTGCAAGACAGTCCAAATT